TGGTTTGTGTTCAACCTTGTTTTGGTTGGTTTTGACAGTTCTGGGGCTGTGTCCCATTCCCAGGGGATATGTTGGTCTATCTCTATGTGTTTGACTAGGGATGCGTCCTTTTTGTTTTCAGGACTTTCATATTGCATGATTGAGAGTTTTGGTCTCTTCTTTTGTTGTTTGTTTTTCTTGGCTGCTTTACTTGCCATGAAATATTGTGCTCTTTCTAATTTCAGAATTTCTTTAAAGATCACTGGTGGGATGTTATCTTCCCCACGGGCGGCATTTTTATTCATCCTGCTGCATGCAGTGAGGAATTCTTGAGAGGTGATTGCACCTCCTATGTCAAGTTCCTGGATGGGTTCATCATCACAGGTCAGGTTTTCCCAAAAAGTTGGGTCTTGAGAGACTCCTGTAGAATCTTTTGACAGTGTGCTAAAATGTTCATATTCAGCTTGTGCTATGTCTTTGTTATTAACGCAGAGGTTTCCGCTTTTGTCTTTGCATGGCATGGGTTGGCTTTGTTTCTTGCCAAGATGATCTGGTAGGGCTGCTTTAATAGCTGTGTGAAAGTCCAGCATCTCATTCTCTACAAGATATTTATTTGTTTGGGCAGTCTTTTTGGTCTCCCTAGCTGTTTCAAATTTTTTAATTGCTTTCTTTGCAAGTCTTTCCGCTTTTTCAGCGTAGTTGGATCTTTTGGTTAACTCTTCTAGTGAGCAGCCTTTATTGAGTGTTTCAGTGTATTCAAGCCTTGTTGCCCTGGCCTTTTTTATTAGTTTTGCCACTTGTCGTGGAAAGTGAGTTGATCTGGGAGGTTTTGCATGCTTGATAGCCCCCCATTTGATTGCGGCTTCTGCCAAGTTTGACCGCCATGATTCTGCTTTTTCATTCAGGGTTCCTGATGATGGGAATGTTTTCCACGCTCCGTCAGTCAGGATATCTGTTCCATGACCTTTAATAGCTTTCAAGTCCCATCTTAGTTTTGGGGGAGTAGATTCTGTGAAATTTTTACGTATTTTCATACTGATGGCCGCATGATCACTTGTGCCTTTATATTGTAAGGCCATGTGTCTACTGACTTTTGCTTTGCAGGTAATATCTTTCACTGCAGGTGATATTAGCCAATGATCAATGTCACTTGGCTTTCCTGTGTTTGGTAGACGGGTCAGGTTAGACCCACTACATTCTTTGATGGTCATACGCCCTCCAGTTTTCTTGAGGGCCTCTTTTGATAATTGAATGGTGGTCATGTTGAAGTCTCCTCCAATTGCTATCTTACAATTTGCATCATTGTCTAGTAGACTGTTTATCTTAGTCCATACAGGCTTAAGTTGTGTCTTCCGGTGTTGTCTCTTATTTGATCCGGACTGTAAATATACACCAAAGATGTGCCATAAGCTGTTCGGTTCAAGTTTGGTTACAACAAGATATTGTATCCTTGGGTCTTCCATAGGTTTTTCATATGCGCCTATGTCATTTCTGACCATCATACACAGTCCATAAAAGCCTGTGGTTGCAGGGTGGGAAAATGTTCTGTATCCCTCAATTTTTGGCTCATATCGCCATTCAGTTCTGCGGGTTTCCCCAACTACTATGACTCCTGCAGTTACTTGTTCTGCTAGAGATTCTAACTGTGTGGCTTTTGTGTTGAAGCCTTGGGCATTCCACGCAAGTAGGGATGTGTATCCTCCACTTACTTTGTCCTCTTTGGGAGGTTCTGGGACTGGTTTTTGAAAACTGGGTAATTCATCCCGGTATTTTTTATATAAGTTGATGCGCCACTTTCTGATGTTGAAGCATTGCGTGTTATCATCCCCTTTATTCCAGGGTTTCTTTGTCTTACGGCAGTATATGGTTTTTGTTCCATGAAAGCGCTCCTGACTTGTGAGTTGCATCATTTTTGTGAAGCCCATTGCGATGTGTGGTGTGACACATATGTCAAATCCTGGTTGCTGAAATATATTGTGTCTTTTTACAACACTTACTACTTCTTGGCATTGCGCTGATGTGAGTCTATGTCTTAGTATTATCCATACATCTGCTGGTGTACAGCTGCCAGTGTTATTGAGGGTCATCCTCACAGAGTTCCGGATGTTATTTTTTATAATTGTTTGTCTCATATTTTTGTTACATGTCAATGTTGACACAATAGGTGATGGATGATGTTTCCGTACTACGTCTGCGTAGGAAGGTGTATTGCTTGGTTCTGGTGATACTGGAGGTGTATCAATGTCCATTCCATTCTCATCATATCTTGATGATGTTTGACTATGATTTGAGGTTGGGGTGTCTTTATGCATTAATGTTTTGTTGACATTATGTTGTGATGTCTTAGTTGGGAGATGGTCTGGTTCACTCATCTCAATTTCGCGGCTCTCAAGAATTTGAGTCTGGGGATTGTTGTGATTGGGGATATTGTCTTTTCCCTTCACATTTGTGTTTAAAGTATTTATGTCTGTCATGGCAATGTCTAGTTCTTGTGAAGTTGACTGATTTGGCAATCTGTTTATCGGATTAGCCATGTCTTGTTGACTTCCATTTGCTTCACTGAAGCGCATCTGTTCATCAGTGTATTCTTCTGATGGTATACCATAGTTTTTCTCACGTCCTTTGGCTTTGGACTGGTGAGAATGGGTTTGTAGGTTTCCACTAGTTCTAACAGTCTTTAAGTTAAGCTTGTCAAGCAGTTCTCTACGTGTTAGCATTCCGCCATCACGTCTATCTCGTGGGACTAATGGTTGTTTTTCCATCATTCTTTGTCTTTCCTGTGCCATCCTTGATGATTCAGCAATAGGTATGTGGAGACTGTTTGTGTTTATGTCATTATGCGAGATCTCGTCATCAAGTTCGGTGTGACGGATAATTCTTCCAATATCACTTTGAATATAAAGCCTTTTTGCTTTTCCTTGTCTTATTTTTCTACACTCGTAAAGGGTGTCTATCCTTTTTTGTTTTCTGTTTGATATCTCTTTGGCAATTTTGTTTTTGTCACGGCGCTCACGTTGTTGTTTGCCGGTTAACTTTGTTTTTATGTTTGTTGAGCGGTAAGTCCTACCGCCTCTTATCAGTGTCTCTTCTTTTCTGTTCTGGTTTTGCATTCTCATTGGATGGATTGCATTTGTGTCAATTGTAACCGTATTTTGTTCCTGGTTAGCGGAAGTGGGTGTTTTAACATTAGATGTTGTTTTTAAGTTTGATTCCGGTAATAGCCGTGAATCAGAAGTGAGTTCATTCATTATAGAACGAGATTTGGTTTTGCCAGTAGCTTTAGTTGATCCTCCCTCCTGGGGCGCCAAAGAAGAATCAACCCCCAAAGTAACATTATTGACCAACACATCATCCTTCAGGGAGCAAGGAGTGTTGGTTTCCACAGTAACTTTAGTCCCAACAGCGCCCCTGGACGGACAGACAACTGCTGGCGGAGGAAATTCATTGTACAAGTTCAGTCCCTCCACAACTGACAGGGAGCCGGGGCTCATTACACCCAATCCCGGACAACTTGAGTTTACAGGTGTATTCGTCATAGTTGCATTTGAGTTCCAAGAGATAAGGCCCTCCCGGGTGGCCCTGAAATGTCATCTACGTACATTTCAGGTTTTATAGTTCAAGATGGAATCTCGTGAATGCATCTTTCAGGACACATTGTTTGTCATCCTAATTTTCTGAGTGTGGGGTGTATATTCCCTCACTGGTGTTCAATGTTAGTAACAATTTCTCTTTTCCAGAAGTTGATCTCCGGTGTTTTAATAAAGCTTGGTATTCCGTGGTGCACATGCATGGTCCCTATATTCATACATGTGCAGGCGGTTCTCCAAGAAAGGGCATAGGGGCATAGGGGCATAGAGGCATATATAGGGACAAAGTATTTTTAGATCCTATAGGGTCTTCAGATTGCGTCTGTGGCTGATATGACAGACAATTTTTTGATTGACACATGTGTTGTTGACATCAGCATTTTGCCGCTAGGTATGTTGGATATAATGTTATTCATACATCAAAAGCAATCTGTGTGCCTAGGTATTTATTTTTATCAAGATAATTTGTCAAGTGTCAGAGGTTATTTTTATTTGACAATGATAAAGTTTGAGTGTTTGTGTGTGCAAACACTTTCAAAGTGTCTGAGGATATTTTACCTCTGATGTTCAAAGAGATTATTTGTTTTTGCATGAGCAATATTTACATTCCACATCATATTCATCAGGATCCGTCTCAGCTTCAACCTCACAGTTGGCCGTCATCAACAGTTTTTTACCTGCTTTTCTGATATGTTAGTTTCAAGAAGTATTGAAACTTTTTTTTTTTTTTTTTTTTTTTTTTTTTTTTTTTTTTTTTTTTTTTTTTGAAGTTTCTGATCACATGTGTACTTGACATGTTTCACTTTTTATCATCCTTCTATGGAGGGTATCATTGTAAAGTGTCTGAGAGTATTTCTCCCTGACAATGAAGATAAAGATTTTTTGCTTTACGTGAACAATTTGCATCTGATATCATAATAATGATGCAATGTCTAAGCCCCAACCTTGCAGTTGGCTATTTTCAACATACCTCATTTTCTGTCATGAGGATTTTTAAAGTCCTTTGTATTGAGTCAAAGATTTTCTTGAGATTAGAATCTAAATGAGGACATTCAAGTGCATAAAAACAAGCAAAGTTTGTATTTTACTAATTAGGTGTTATCTAAGTCAACTCTAGAGTTGACTACCATTGATACGCTTATTACCTACTTTTCTAATATAGGGACTTTGTCAAGTTTCACAAATTTTCAAATCTTACTTGTTTGGGTGCTACCTCCTTCAACAAGAAATATGTTGAGTATCATAGGTGGATTTTTACCTCACTTTTCAGATTTTCATGTGTTGTCAGGTTTGTTTGACGTTCTCATTGGTTTAGAAACATTACGGTGTAAGGCACTTGCATATGCACATACAAATATAGTTTGAAACATTGCTGTCTCTAAGTTTTCAGGGTGTGACACACTTTACATGAAATCACAAATATGGTTTGAAACA